TCACAAGAACCAGTAGCAACACTAGAACTATCAAAAGTACCAGTAGCAACACTAGAACTATCACAAGAACCAGTAGCAACACTAGAACTATCACAAGTACCAGTAGCAACGCTAGAACTACCACAAGTACCAGAAGCAACACTAGAACTATCACAAGTATCACAAGCAACACTAGAACTATCACAAGCACCAGTAGCAACACTAGAACTATCACAAGTACCAGTAGCAACACTAGAACTATCACAAGTAACAGTAGCAACACTAGAACTATCACAAGTACCAGTAGCAACACTAGAACTATCACAAGTACCAGTAGCAACACTAGAACTATCACAAGTACCAGTAGCAACACTAGAACTATCACAAGTACCAGTAGCAACACTAGAACTATCACAAGTACCAGAAGCAACACTAGAACTATCACAAGTACCAGTAGCAACACTAGAACTATCACAAGTACCAGTAGCAACACTAGAACTATCACAAGTACCAGACGCAACACTAGAATTATCACAAGTACCAGTAGCAACACTAGAACTATCACAAGTACCAGTAGCAACACTAGAACTATCACAAGTACCAGTAGCAACACTAGAACAATCACAAGTACCAGTAGCAACACCAGAACTATCACAAGTACCAGTAGCAACACTAGAACTATCACAAGAACCAGTAGCAACACTAGAACTATCACAAGTACCAGTAGCAACACTAGAACTATCACAAGAACCAGTAGCAATACTAGAACTATCACAAGTACCAGTAGCAACACTAGAACTATCACAAGTAGCAATAGCAACACGAGAACTATCACAAGTAGCAATAGCAACACTAGAACTATCACAAGAACCAGTAGCAACACTAGAACTATCACAAGTACCAGTAGCAACACTAGAACTATCACAAGTAGCAGTAGCAACAGTAGAACTATCACAAGTAGCAGTAGCAACACTAGAACTATCACAAGCAGCAGTAGCAACACTAGAACTATCACAAGTAGCAGTAGCAACACTAGAACTATCACAAGTAGCAGTAGCAACACTAGAACTATCACAAGTAGCAGTAGCAACACTAGAACTATCACAAGAACCAGTAGCAACACTAGAATTATCACAAGTACCAGTAGCAACACTAGAACTATCACAAGTAGCAGTAGCAACACTAGAACTATGACAAGTAGCAGTAGCAACACTAGAACTATCACAAGTAGCAGTAACAACACTAGAACTAACACAAGAACCAGTAGCAACACTAGAACTATCACAAGTACCAGTAGCAACACTAGAACTATCACAAGTAGCAGTAGCAACACTAGAACTATCACAAGTACCAGTAGCAACACTAGAACTATCACAAGTAGCAATAGCAACACTAGAACTATCACAAGTAGCAGTAGCAACACTAGAACTATCAAAAGTAGCAATAGCAACACTAGAACTATCACAAGTAGCAATAGCAACACTAGAACTATCACAAGTAGCAGTAGCAACACTAGAACTAACACGAGGAACAGTAGCAACACAAGAACTAACACGAGTACCAGTAGCAACACTAGAACTAACCCAAGAACCAGTAGCAACACTAGAACTAACACGAGGAACAGTAGCAACACTAGAACTATCACAAGTAGCAGTAGCAACACTAGAACTAACACAAGAACCAGTAGCAACACTAGAACTAACACAAGAACCAGTAGCAACACTAGAACTATCACAAGTAGCAGTAGCAACACTAGAACTAACACAAGAACCAGTAGCAACACTAGAACTATCACAAGTAGCAGTAGCAACGCTAGAACTAACACAAGAACCAGTAGCAACACTAGAACTATCACAAGTAGCAGTAGCAACACTAGAACTATCACAAGTAGCAGTAGCAACACTAGAACTATCACAAGTACCAGTAGCAACACTAGAACTATCACAAGTACCAGTAGCAACACTAGAACTAACACGAGGAACAGTAGCAACACTAGAACTAACACAAGAACCAGTTGCAACACTAGAACTATCACAAGTACCAGTAGCAACACTTGAACTATCACAAGTAGAAGTAGCAACACTAGAACTATCACAAGTACCAGTAGCAACACTAGAACTATCACAAGTACCGGTAGCAACACTAGAACTGTCACAAGTACCAGTAGCAACACTAGAACTATCACAAGTAGCAGTAGCAACACTAGATCTATCACAAGTAGCAGTAGCAACACTAGAACTATCACAAGTAGCAGTAGCAACACTAGAACTATCACAAGTAGCCGTAGCAACACTAGAACTAACACAAGAACCATTAGCAACACTAGAACTATCACAAGTACCAGTAGCAACACTAGAACTATCACAAGTAGCAGTAGCAACACTAGAACTATCACAAGTAGCAGTAGCAACACTACAACTATCACAAGAACCAGTAGCAACACTAGAACTAACACAAGAACCAGTAGCAACACTAGAACTGTCACAAGTAGCAGTAGCAACACTAGTACTATCACAAGTACCAGTAGCAACACTAGTACTATGACAAGTAGCAGTAGCAACACTAGAACTAACACAAGAACCAGTAGCAACACTAGAACTATCACAAGTAGCAGTAGCAACACTAGAACTATCACAAGTAGCAGTAGCAACACTAGAACTATCACAAGTACCAGTAACAACACTAGAACTATCACAAGTAGCATTAGCAACACTAGAACTATGACAAGTACCAGTAGCAACACTAGAACTATCACAAGTACCAGTAGCAACACTAGAACTATCACAAGTACCAGTAACAACACTAGAACTAACACAAGAGCCAGTAGCAACACTCGAACTATCACAAGTAGAGGTAGCAACACTAGAACTATCACAAGAACCAGTAGCAACACTAGAACTAACACGAGGAACAGTAGCAGAAGCAACGACGTTTCGGTTCATGTCGGACCGAAACGTCGTGGTAAGCTCCTCTCTCCTCTGTGCGGGTTAATTGTGTATTGCTCCAGTCACGGTATTCTGGCTCTTTATTCCTTAGAAATGATTTCTATGTAACTGTTATGTGTAGATGGGACAATACTTGGACGGTTTACCGGGGGTCAGCGCCCCCACGACCCTGTCCATAAACCCCCCGAAATGCGCTCACAGAAGTCACAGTGTGCGTCTCTAAACGTTCATAGTATACACACCGACTTAACGTATACACACACGTTATAAAAGGTCTATATACACTTTCACACTATGTACACACACAATATAAATCTGGCAGGACGCTGCGAAATCCCATTAGATCGCTGTCCGTGATAGCGATACGAGTGTGTTGAAGCGTGACAGTGTATCTCACGTATACTTTTAAAAGTAAAATGAATTTATGGAACAGTACGGTACAGGGAAACGACATCACAGCTGGAAACACTAGTATTCAGATCGACACAGGGAAAACGACATCCGCATTGTATGTAACATTCAGAACGACACAGAAAACGACATCCAAACTATATGTAACAGTCAGAACGACACAGGAAACGACATCCAAACTGGAATCATTTTAATGCGTAAACTAGGGATTGAAATCAATTCACAGAGTATACACACTGCAATATACACACTCCACGGTGTATATATACACCGAGATGTTTCCTGCATATATACACGCCTCCCAGTGTGTATAAACACAGTGTATATTCACAGAATATGCACACCTTTCGCTGTATAGACGTACACCGAGGTATACTCTCAATGTACATAGTCTAGGAGATATACATTTCTTAGTATATTAATCCGCTTGAGGCAAAAAATAATTTATGCAATATCCAGTCTAGAGGCTCTTGATCCAAGGAAGTAGATCCCCATATTTTCCCCATGGCCCCCACGTGTTTAGTGCTTCCCCGTGAGCACGTGTGACCGTTTCGGGGGGGGGGGATTGTTGGTCCAGTGACCAGGAGTAAATTCGAAGCGGTAAACCAGTCCCGGCCGTTCAGCGAAACGCCTGGTGAAGGCTCGATACTCCGTCCACTACAATGAGAAACATATATACCCTGAGAAACATATTTACACAATGAGGTATATACATCTCAGCGCATTTATACACTACTACCCTCCTATAGTAGATAGACTTGAAACCCCACCAATCAACCAACCACAAATACTTACACCATCGTCTTAAGAAACATGAAATCCGATTGGAAAGATAACAGATTAGCGGTTATCAAACCTCACTTTGTTTTTATCGTAGCTGGCCAAAGGTTGAGTATTAAAGAAGAAAGGTACCCAGGGCGTCCATCCGTTCACGTTGCCGGTATATATATAGAGAGAAGGGAATTAGTTCACCAGACACAGTGTGTTTTTCCATGGTGTAAGCAAGATGGTTGTTAAGGTGGGTCTGTGAGACTCGTAGCACAGATTTTCTCCTCCTCCTTCTCTTCTCTTCTTCTTTCCCTTATAGAATAGTGTAGCAACATGTTCCGGGTATTCTCACAGCTTAATTATCATGTAGAATAGTGCAACCACATACTCTGGGTGTTTCCATAGTGTAATTATCATGTAGAATAGTGTAGCAACATGTTCCTGGTATTCCCACAGCTTAATTATCATGTAGACTAGTGCAACCACATACTGTGGGTGTTCCCATAGTGTAATTATCATATAGAATAGTGTAGCAACACACTACGGGTGTTAGCACAATGTAGCTATAATACAGAATAGTATACCAACACACTACTGGTAGTAGTACAGTGTAACTATAATACAGGATAGTGTAGCAACACTCTATGGGTGTTAGTACAATGTAACTATCAAATGGAATAGTGTATCTACTCACTGCGAGTGTAAGTACAATGTAACTATCCTATAGTAGTGTAGCAACACACTGGGAGTGTTCCCATAATGTAACTATCACAGAATAGTGTAGCAACATACTTCGAGTGTTAGTACAATGTAACTATCACTCACAACAGTATAGCAACACATTGGTGATGCACCACACATCGTTAATTCAAAGTCTCACTGCAGGTATTCCTGGTAATGTGTTTCGGGGTTGCAGTTGGCGCCGACAAACTTCAGACTCTCTCGTATGCTGCACCACAGGTCAGTCCTTAGCGCTGTTTGTAACTCCAGCTATGCTGGGCAGGAACCTTTGAAGCTGTCGTAGCTGATGTCTTTTAATGGTATACTTGACGTTATCCTCACTGTTGTTGCTCATCTCAGGCTGACAGATTTTAACAACATGTATGAGCCCCTTTCTGAGTGACTGAAGATGACAGGGAAACATAGTTGTTGTCCCCACTGTGTGGCTGTCAGTGTATTACGTATGTGGTTCATTCTGCGTGACTGGAATATGACAGGGAAACATAGTTGTTGTTCCCACTGTGTGGCTGTCAGTGTATTACGTATGTAGTTCATTCTGCGTGACTGGAATATGACAGGGAAACATAGTTGTTGTTCCCACTGTGTGGCTGTCAGTGTATTACGTATGTGGTTCATTCTGCGTGACTGGAATATGACAGGGAAACATAGCTGTTGTCCCCACTGTGTGGCTGTCATATAGAATAGTAACACTAATAATAGCTGTCATATACAATAGTAATAAAAGCATGACAAGAGTTTATTAAGCAGGTAGTGAAGGAGGTTGCCCAATATTTCAAGAATTTAGCATTGTGTCTGTTAGTTTTATCAGTTTCTTCCTGCTTCATCGCTGTGTTTACTCTCCTCTTGATCAATCAGGAATTGAATACAAGGAAGACATGATTAGTTCCAGTCTCGATCAATTTACCAAGACAGGGTGACCGGAAAAAGAAGAATCACTTCCATCATTATTCATTCCATCACTGTCTTGCCAGAGGAATGTCGACACTACATATCAAAAACTGCAACATATCAACTTTTACTTCAGAGTGCAGGCACTATACTTCCCACCTCCAGGACTCAAGTCCAGCTAACCGGTTTCCCTGAATCCCTTCATAAATCTTACTCGGCTAACACTCCAACAGCACGCAAACTCTTCTAAACTCTTGTTTCTCTGAATAAGCAACTCCTCACACACTCGTCAATAATTCCTTGAATATATAGAGATAAAGATAACAAATATTTAATTCCATGGTTTACATTGAGGTTGAAGTGGATGAATCTGCAGAGTGTCTCGTGACTCACGAAATCGTAATAACACAATTGCAAATAAAGCAAGAAAAAGGTTAGATTTGATCCCATGGCGAGTGAGCTTCAGGAGTCATTTGTTATTGGTTCAACCCCCACCCGTTTCGAGGTTTGTATGGCGACAGGTTAACTAATGCAAACCATTACTATATATTTCACTCATTTCTGAACGACCCAGGGGTGACTCAAGCATACAAAAGAGTTAGGTTTGAGTTCCTCCATTAGACTCTGACTTAACCCGTGGACTTACACACCTAAAAGTGAATTTATCTAATTTAGGGTACACAATTCCGTTAAACTCATTAGACATACCTGGAGTATACCTGGAGTGTGTTTCGGGGGTCAACGCCCCCGTGGCCAGGTCCATAACCAGGCCTCGCGGTGGATCAGGAACTGATCAACCAGGCTGTTACTGCCGGCCGCACACAAACCGACATACGAACAACAGCTTAGATATCTTTATTGTGGACACGTTACGCCTGCTCAGCAGGCTTCTTCAGTCAAATGCAGAGCTTATTATAACACTAGAGAGGCAATGTTGATAGAAGGTGGTCAGTCCCTCAGCTTGTTTTTTTCGTCTATTTCAATTTTCTGGACAGGTTTGAGGTTTGAGTTTGATAAAATTTCTAAGTGACGCTGTTCATGAAATTCTGGTGTGGAGAAAAAATCTAATAACCCTAATTTTTAAAGTGTTGGAGGAGGCCTGGTCACAGACCGGGCCGCGGGGGCGTTGACCCCCGGAACTCTCTCCAGGTAAACTCTCTCCAGGTAAGCCAGTGGATAGCCTAGGACAGATGACCAAAAGCTTCAACTGTGGGTCATCATATGACTAAGACCAACGTCAGAAAACACTTGTCCTGTTTATTAACGAACCTTACCTAACCTAACCTAACCTAACTGGTGTTGGAATTGGACATAACTCATGAGCTAATTATTTTTTTGGAGTCATAAGGTAAGTTAACACAAGCTAAAACTGCGTCAGAGTATTCTAGATATCCACACGTTAACTACGTAACAAATCTAGAGATCCACACACTAAAATTTCTAACAATTCTGAGCATTCACACGCTAAAATTACGTGATGGTATTCTAGACATCCACAAGCATGTTTAAACTTCAATATTCACTCCCTCACAGCAATCATCCGAGGAATCTTACGAATCTAGTGAAGCTAAGTACGACTTCAGCTACGCGGTAAAGGACGACTCTTCTGGCAACCACTTCGGTCACCAGGAGAACCGCGACAACGACAACACCAAAGGGTCGTACTACGTACAGCTCCCCGATGGTCGTCTGCAGACTGTGACTTACTACGTGGACGGTGACTCAGGCTACGTGGTCGAGGTGACTTACCAGGGAGAAGCTCGCTACCCCGAGTCTTCAGAGTCTTCGGAGTCCAGCGAGGCTGGTGGCTATGACCCTCGTCGATCCATCTACGGGTAGAATACTCATCTTAACACCTGGAATACAACCCACAATACCCAGGTACAATTCAAGGGCGAACGACAATTCAAAGAATGAATTTAAGACCATGACAGCGGTCTATTCCCGTCTGCTTATAAATCAGGACGAACCAAAACCTCTCTCAGAATTTCCTGACCAATTTCTGGGTTAGGTGTGGCTTATACCAGCCTCGGTATTGTGGCTTTTATCTTACTTGATGGGTTATTCGTGGAGATAGTTAATTAATTTGGCTTAAAAACCCATTGAAAACGCAAAGGGTCATCAAGACTGCTTGTCACCTGTATACCACCAGATATATATATATATATATATATATATATATATATATATATATATATATATATATAATATATATATATATATATATATATATATATATATATATATATATATATATATATATATATATATATATATTATATATATATATATATATATATATATATGTATAATTTATTTATTTTTAATATATATATTAAAACATGAAGAAAAAATTGAATTTGTTATTTTAACCATATTGCTGGTGTCCAGCCAAAGTTGGATAATATAAAAAAGAAAATACATTTACCATCACTCATTCAATACATGACCTTGCCACAGATATATACATATGTATACATACATCAGATAGGGAGATTGCCCGTCTCCAGGCTGTGAGCGCACATCACTCCGGGGACTTCCTCCAAACAGTTCCCATATCGGCAATGGGAACGCGACTCGACCCTAAGACCCTCCGTATTGCAGTGGCTCTGCGCCTTGCTGCCCCAATTCACACAGAATATACGTGTATTTGCGGCGAAGTGCAAGCAGACCAATACGGTCTACATGGTCTTAACTGTTCCAAAACCAAGGGCTGGCATGCAAGACACAATGAGGTCAACGACATCATTAAGAAAACCCTTGCTACAGCTGGATGCCCTGCCAAGAGGAAGCCCCGATCACTAGCAGCCAACAATACCCACAACCCAGCAAACCGCCCCGACGGGATCACCATCTATCCTTAGAAGAATGGCAAGCTCTTAGCATGGGACTATACCTGTGTGTCCACACTGGCTGACACCTATATCCATCACAGTGTGGGGCGACAGGGAGGAGCTGCTGACCACAGGGAGGAGTACAAGATCAGCAAGTACAGGGACATAAGCCAACAGTATCAATTTGTCCCAGTGGGATCAGAGACCTTGGGATCATGAGGAAAAAATGTCACACGTTTCCTTAAAGAATTGGGTTCCAGACTCATCGACACCACCAGGAACCCAAGGGCAGCCACTTTCATGTTCCAGCGCCTCAGCGTAGCCATCCAGAGGGGAAATGCTTGCTGCATACTTGGCTCGCGTCCAGCCTCGGAGGAGCTGGAGGAAATTCATGATCTTTGATACATTGTGCCATTGTATTCATGTTTATGTTTTTTTCTGTAAATGTATTCTGTAAATGTATTCTGTTTATTAATAAATGTTCACATAGAATATAAAATATATAGGGGGTGGTAGAAGAAGAAAATATTCAAACAGCTCCGGGGAGAACCTTGAGTTTTTCCTGAGGTACGTTTATTGTCTTCTCTGAGGATGAGGGTCCCCAGTCCAGCTATAGAGGTGGTACTTCCATATATATATATATATATATATATATATATATATATATATATATATATATATATATATATATATATATATATATATATATATATATATATATATATATATATATATATATATATATGCAATAAGATCACAGTAAACAGGTGATTTCAGAATATGCAAAACAACCACTCTGAAAGAATAGAAAGCGCTTGGAATTTCTCTATTCTTTCAGAGTGGTTGTTTTGCATATATATATATATATATATATATATATATATATATATATATATATATATATATATATATATATATATATATATATATATATTATATATATATATATATATATATATATATATATATATATATATAGTCTTCAGTAATCGCTGCTCCCTCTCTGACCAACCAGGCTGTTGGTTATCACCTGGAATTTATTGCAAAGCAGCTGAAATCTGAAGAGTATATTTCACACGGTAACTGAAACAGCTGTCAAGTGGCCAGATTACGTTTCGCTCCTCCTTAGTTCATTATCAAACCAGGAGTCGTCCTGGGCGGACCGAAACATCGAGTTTTTGTAATCTGAGGTCAAGTGAAATTTTAGGCTAAGCGGATGACGTCAATGACATGAGAATAATGTAGAACACAGAGTATTGGGTCGTACAGGAAAGTGATTCTTCCAGTCTGTGTGTTGAGTTTTTTGTGCTGTAAGTTGGTGCAGACAGGAAGCAAGAGTATTCTTGTGTGTGTGTGTGTGTGTGTGTGTGTGTGTGTGTGTGTGTGTGTGTGTGTGTGTGTGTGTGTGTGTGTGTGTGTGGTGTGTGTGTGTGTGTGTGTGTGTGTGTGTGTGTGTGTGTGTGTGTGTGTTTGAGTATGTATGTTTATGTAGTGCATGTGTAGTCTGTGTACTCACCTATATGTAGGAGCAAGGGTCAACGTACAGCTCCTGGCCTCGCCTCTTCGGTGGTCCCTACTAGGTCCACTCTTTCCCTGCTTCAAGAGCCTTATCGTAACTCTTCTTGAAGCTATGTATATATCTTGCCTCCACTACATCGCTCTCCAGATTGTTCCACTTTCTGACAACTCTAAGGAGGAAGAAATGCTTCCTAACATCTCTATGTCTCATCTGAGTTTTCGACTTCCAGTTGTGTCCCCTTGTTGCTGTGTCCCATCTCTGAAACATCCTGTTTCTGTCCACCTTGTCAATTCCTTTCAGTACTTTGTAATTCGTTATTATATCCCACCTATCCCTCCTGTCCTCCGGTGTTGTCAGGTTGAGTTCCCTTTACCTATCCTTATATGACATTTACCTTAGCTCCGTGACTAGACGTGTTGCAAACATCCGCTCTTTCTCCAATTTCTTTATGTACTTGGTCAGATATGTTTCAGACTGGTGCTGTGTACTCCAATATGTGCCTGTCGTACACAGTGTATATATACACAGTGTATAGTGTCGTGTCAAAATGTTATTCTTAGATCTGGCAGACGCCTATATGCTGCAGCAGTTATTTGGCTGATGAGCGCCTCAGGGAATATGCTCGGTATGATACTTACCCCAAGCTCCTTGAGTGAGGTTTGTAGCCTTTGCCCCCTGAACCTGTACCTCATCTGCAGTCTTTTTTCTCCTTACCGAAGCTTCATAACATCGCACTTGGTGGAGTTTAACTCCAGGAGCCATCTGACAGACCATCCTTGTTGCCTGATCCAAAATTAACTCTAACAACAAGAACATCGACTGAGATCAAAATAATTCATCTAAATAAAACCTGCTGCGAATATATCTTAAATGACATGGATTTAAACCATCGTCTAAAAAGATGTAGTACACTTAATACACATTTCCATAGGGAAAAAGAAGAGCAGATGTAAACTTGACATGAGGAATACTCTACAGGTAAACCCGAAAAAACCTTCTTCGTACTTATAAGTTTAGTCAAGCATCTCAGTTACCGGGAGCTTTTGAAGTCCTTTGATCTGTACTCCCTGGAGCGCAGGCGAGACAGGTATATCATAATTTATACCTGAAAAAATTCTTGAGGGACTGCTCCCAAATCTACACACGGAAATAACTCTTTATGAAAGCAAAAGCAAGGTTCCCATGAGTACAATGAGAAAAAATACAATTAGTGTCAGGGGTCCAACACTGTCCAACAGCCTCCCGTCATACATAAGGGGATTACCAATAGACTCTTAACTGTCTTCAAGAGTGAACTGAAGAAACACCTTAAGTCAGTGCCTGACCAGCCGGGCTGTGTCTCGTACATTGGATAGCTTGTGGCCATCAGTAACAGCCTGGTCAAACAAGCCCTGATCCACCGACAGGCCTGGTCATGGTCCGAAGCCGCGGACCATGACCGAAGTCTACCTACCCTCCAGGTAGGTAGACTTCGGGTATATATTCCTCCTGGAGTATTTAAACTAATAAACACTTCTGTATATATATATATATATATATATATATATATATATATATATATATATATATATATATATATATATATATATATATATATATATATATATATATATGTCGTGCCGAATATGTAAAACTGGTCAATTAACAAGAACTCATTTAAAATTAAGTCCATTCTAAAATTTTCTCTTATACGTTTAAAGATATATTTTTTTCATTAATGTTGATGTAAAAATTTATAATTTTGCACCTAAAGGAACTTAGAAAACTTACCTAACCTTATTATAACAAGAACAATTTATTTTAGCCTAACCCAACTAAATATATTTTAGCTTTGTTTACAATAATTTAATACTAAACAAACACAGTGAAATATATTTTTTTCGTAAGGTTCAGAATGATTTTGGCGAAATTATTGCATACACAAAATTTCACTTGTCCTATATGGCAAGATGAGCGTTGCTATTTAAGCCAAGATCGCAAGTTCTGCTTATTCGGCACGACATATATATATATATATATATATATACATATACCTCAGGGAGAATATACCCAGAAACATGAAAATAATTCATGGTTTTAAACTGTTTTATATTCAAAATAAAACAAATTTTATGTATTTCCCTACAGTTTAATGAGTAAATATCCAAAATAAATACATAAATAATATCTGGTCTGATACATTGTGACAGAATATATTATGTTGCGTCACTGTATATAACAACACTTAGAAATTAGGTTTTCGGAATTATTTGTATGTGTGTTTAGACTAAAAATTGATTTTCTCGAGATAATAGGCTGTTTTCAGGCTTCAGTCGTACATGCAGTTTCGTGGGTCGTACTTTAGGGACTTGTAGTGTCCTCAAAATGTAGTCGTACACGGGCATTCGCGGGGCGTACTCTAGGGACTGGTAGTGTTCTAAGAGTCTAGCCGTACACGGGTCTGCGCGGGACGTACTCTAGGGACTGGTAGTGCTCTCAGAGTCTAACCATACACGGGTCTACGTGGGGCGTACTCAAGGGACTCGAAGGAGCGAGACTCATCAGAGTAGCGAGCCTCTCCCTCGTAAGTCACCTGAGCCTGGTAGCCCGAGTCACCGTCAACTAGGAAAGTCACCTTCTGAAGACGACCATCGGGGAGCTGCACGTAGTACGACCCCTGAGTGTCGTCACCGTCGCGGCTCTCCTGGTGACCGAACTCATTACCTGAAGGGTCGTGGTCAACAGCCCAGTTGAAGTTGTATTTGGCTTCACTTGACTCAAAAGATTCATCAGAAAACACCTGGACAAAAACACATGCAATATAAGTAACTATAGGAACCCGTCCCTCGAAGATACAAATAAAAGAAACAATCCCCAGAGAATACCTTGAAAAAACACAGATAAACACGAGTAAACAGAGGATTGTATCCCTCAAAGTTAATACTAACAAGTGTACAAGATTAATAAATATTACTGTCACAGACTGGAACTTACTTAATGTGGCTGAGACAATAAAAATGATCACAGACTCACCCTGGGAGGACCATAGGAGAAGGAGGGACGCTTGTCAGCAGCGGCCATAACCACCACACACAACACAAGCACAATCTGTAAGTTACACTTTGCTTACTAACTGCTGCTACGTCCATTTATCTTACAGTGATGAATAATGATTAGTTATGTAACTGCTGCTATGTCCATTTATCTTAGTGATGAACAATGGTTAGTTATGTGAGAAGTTACGACACTCATCTATGCCGTTAACGCTTCTGTTCTTATGGATATTTGAGAATTAGTCTCGGGTATGACTTAAGAAAAATATTTGGTCAAGAAATGTTGAAAAATATTAAAAAAATTCGTTTTAAACAAAAGTGAAGAATTTAGTATCAAAAAAGGTCCTGACTTTTTTTCGGTAAAAGATTTATATTTTTCATTTGCAAAGTTCAGATAAAATATCAAAACAGATTTGAAAATTCTGAAAAGTTTTACAAAAGTTTATAAATAATCTAAATAAAATAGATCATTCGAAAAACTTTAAATCCCTAAATAAAGAATTTGATAATTAGATCAAAATGGAGTAATTATTGAGTGATGGAATTTAAAGTAGGTTTATAAACCATTGTTATGGAAGAACTAACACACAAACTGAAGATTAAAACACTATAGACAAGAACTGAAGATTAAAACACTATAGACAAGAACTGAAGATTAAAACACTATAGACAAGAACTGAAGATTAAAACACTATAGACAAGAACTGAAGATTAAAACACTATAGACAAGAACTGAAGATTAAAACACTATAGACAAGAACTAGCAGATCCAGTGACAAAAAGAATGAAATGTGTCAAGAAAAATGTCAATGGAGGAAACATCGACGTCAACAGACCACAAGACCTTTTTTTACATTGAAAAAAATTAATGGAATGTGAGAAAGTTGTTACAGGAAATACGGAAAATGTAATTTGTGATAAAAATTACAATCGTGAGACAGAGGGATTAACTGAAGTACTGATAATGGCTTAAGAGGAATCGAAACATCGCCCAGTTATCGTATTAAAGTATTGTATAGCAAATGGTATCAGCTGGTGGCCTGAGTGGCATCAGTTTGTGCTCTGAGTGGCATCAGCTTGTGGTCTGAGTGACATCAGTTTGTGCTCTGAGTGGCATCAGTTTGTGCTCTGAGTGGCTCTCACCTGAGTGTTCATGTCTGAGGTTGTAAGACTCAATGATTGACCAGGTCGTGTCTACCCAACGTTATATACCTCAACTCTCAACTCTCACCTCCACCCTCACAATCTGTCTTATTACCGTTCAAGGTTAAGTTTTTTGGTGTGTGTGTGTGTGTGTGTGTGTGTGTGTGTGTGTGTGTGTGTGTGTGTGTGTGTGTGTGTGTGTGTGTGTGTGTGTGTGTGTGTGTGTGTGTGTGTGTGTAATATCGACATAGCTATCAAATCAGAAAAAATAAACATTGTTTAGGGATAATATTTATTAGGAAAAGAGATAAGCTGGTTGGGTTACTGGGTTTAAAGTCTATCTATCTACTACTACATGTCACATGTTTACCACCAGTGAAAGTTACTCTAATACCTAAAATAGTGATTAAAATAATGTATTTTATTATTATTATTATTATTATTATTATTATTATTATTATTATTATTATTATTATTATTATTACTATCATTGTTGTTGTTATCAATACTACTACTACTACTACTACTACTACTACTACTACTACTACTACTACTACTAATAATAATAATAATAATAATAATAATAATAATAATAATAGTAGTGGTAGTAGTTGTAGCAGTAGTAATAATGATATCAGTAGTATTAGTATTAATAGTAGTAGTATTAGTAGTATTGAGAGGTAAACCCACGGGACTTTACAAAACGTGAAGAATAGAAAGTAATCATGTTTGATCCGAGGAGTGGGAAAGGTAGCTTCACCGCCATACTCTTCCCCTCATTGTTAAAGTGAAAATGTATGTACCAACCCCGTAGAGTTTCACTCTATTTATTTTTACCAAAAGAATACCTTTGTACTCTGATATTTACCATATTTAATAAATTATTTTGTATGCGTAGGCCCTTAAATATATATTATATATACATGTCATATGTACATTATATATATATTTCATATATATCTTATGTTGCAATTACAAGATAGTTAAATTACGTGTGTGATTGATGGTAATGCATTCGCCTCAGCCACGTTCATAGTTTGCTTACTCTGGGAGCTTGTCCAGATGACCGCCTGATCAGTTAAACTGTTTGTTCTAGCAGACTGATGGTCTAAATACACACTGTGGCCACTTTAATAGGTATACCCTTCTAGTAACAGTCAGAATTCTTCGTTGCAAAGATTCAACAAGGTGCTGGGAAGAGTCTCAAGATACCCTGGTCCTTGTTGACATGATACCATCATGCAATTGTTGTTAATTTGTTAACTGCACATCTGTGCTGCGAATCTCCCACTGCAGCTTTGGTTTCCTGTTCTTAGCTGACAGGAGACGAAGCCAGTGCCTTCTTCTCCTGCTGTTACCTATCCATTTACAGTTTCCATATGTTGTGCTGTCAGAGATGCTGTATACCACTGTTGTAACAACTGGTTATGTGACTTACCATCTCCTTCCTGTCAGTTTGAACCGTTCTGGCCATTCTAATCTAACCTGTCAATAACAAAACGTTCTCGCTTATAGAACTCCTGCTCACTAGATGTTTTGTGTTATTCACACCATTTACTAAACTCCGGAAGCTGTTTCTCGAGAAAATCCCAGAAGATTAGCAAGTCCTGATATCTACAGCCCGTCTGGCACCACCAACAATCATTCCAGATATCTACAACAGCCCGTCTGGCACCACCAACAATCATTCCAGATATCTACAGCTGCCCGTCTGGCACCACCAACAATCATTCCAGATATCTACAGCAGCCCGTCTGGCACCACCAACAATCATTCCAGATATCTACAGCAGCCCGTCTGGCACCACCAACAATCATTCCAGATATCTACAGCAGCCAGTCTGGCACCAACAACAATCATTCCAGATATCTACAGCAGCCCGTCTGGCACCACCAACAATCATTCCAGATATCTACAGCAGCCCGTCTGGCACCACCAACAATCATTCCAGATATCTACAGCAGCCCGTCTGGCACCACCAACAATCATTCCAGATATCTACAGCAGCCCGTCTGGCACCAACAACAATCATTCCAGATATCTACAGCAGCCCGTCTGGCACCACCAACAATCATTCCAGATATCTACAGCAGCCCGTCTGGCACCAACAACAATCATTCCAGATATCTACAGCAGCCCGTCTGGCACCAACAACAATCATTCCAGATATCTACAGCAGCCCGTCTGGCACCAACAACAATCATTCCAGATATCTACAGCAGCCTGTCTGGCACCAACAACAATCATTCCAGATATCTACAGCAGCCCGTCTGGCACCAACAACAATCATTCCAGATTCAAACGTAGATGTTATGGAACTTCAGGAGGATTTAAACAAACTCTATTCTTGGTCAGAAAAGTGGCAGATGCAGTTCAATGTAGATAAATGCAAGGTTCTGAAGCTTGGGAGTGTCCATAACCCTAGTACTTATAAGTTAAATGATGTAGAACTTAGCCATACAGATTGCGAAAAGGACTTGGGGGTTATGGTGAGCAGCAACCTTAAACCAAGACAGCAATGCCTAAGCGTACGTAATAAGGCAAATAGATTACTGGGATTTATATCAAGAAGAGTAAGCAACAGAAGTCCAGAGGTCATACTGGCCTGGTGGCTAAAGCTCCCGCTTCACACACGGAGGGCCCGGGTTCGATTCCCGGCGGGTGGAAACATTCGACACGTTTCCTTACACCTGTTGTCCTGTTCACCTAGCAGCAAATAGGTACCTGGGTGTTAGTCGACTGGTGTGGGTCGCATCCTGGGGGACAAGATTAAGGACCCCAATGGAAATAAGTTAGACAGTCCTCGATGACGCACTGACTTTCTTGGGTTATCCTGGGTGGCTAACCCTCCGGGGTTAAAAATCCGAACGAAATCTTATCTTATCTTAGTAAGGCCTCACCTAGATTATGCAGCTCAGTTCTGGTCTCCGTATTACAAAATGGACATAAATTCGTTAGAAAACATTCAGCGTAGGATGACTAAATTAATACATAGCATTAGAAATCTTCCTTATGAAGAAAGATTGAAGACTCTTAAGTTACATTCACTTGTTAGACGAAGAATGAGGGGAGACCTGATCGAAGTGTATAAGTGGAAGATAGGTATTAATAAAGGGGATATTAATAGGGTCTTGAGGATGTCTCTCCAAGAGAGAACCCGCAGTAATGGATTTAAATTAGATAAGTTTAGATTTAGAAAGGTCATAGGAAAGTATTGGTTTGGAAATAGGGTAGTTGATGAGTGGAACAGTCTACCTAGTTGGGTTATTGAGGCTGGGACTTTGGGTAGTTTCAAATCTAGGTTGGATAAGTACATGAGTGGGAGGGGTTGGATTTGAGTGGGACTTTCACATCAGAGCTTATTTCTTGGGTGGCATTGAAAATTGGGTAGGTCAAATGTTTTGTTAGTGGGATGAATTGTAAAGGACCTGCCTAGTATGGGCCAGCAGGCCTCCTGCAGTGTTCCTCCTTTCTTATGTTCTTATGTTCTTATCTACAGCAGCCCGTCTGGCACCACCAACAATCATTCCAGAGCCAAAGTCGCTTAGATAACATTTCTTCTCCCATTCTGATGTTCATTTTGAACAATAACTAGATTTCTTGAACATGTCTATATGGTTTTAGGCATTGAAGTGCTGCCAGGTGATTGGCTGATTAAATTTTTGCATTGTTGAATAGGTACACAGGTGTACCTAATAATGTGGCCAATGGGTGTATGTTTCTCGGTGTATATATATACACTTAAAGTGTATTTTAATCAGTATTTATAGTATTAAGGTATTATTTTCTGATAACCCTCGTGTAGTAGATAGAATTGAAACCCGATTACATTAAACCCGATTACAGTGAAACCCGATTACATTAAAACAACATATCATATGAATAATTTCTAGAAATAATCTCTGGAAAATAATTTCTGAAAAACAATTTCTGGGAAATAATTTCTGGAAAATCATATCTAGGAAATATTTTCTGGAAATTATTTCTGGATAGCAATTTCTGGAAAATTATTTCTGGAAAATAATTCGTGGGAAATAATTTCTGGAAAACAATTTCCGGAAAATAATCCCTAGAAAATAATTTCTGGGAAATATTTTCTGGGAAATAATATCTGGAAAATTATTTCTGGGAAATAATCTCTGGAAAATAATTTCTGGAAAATAGTTTCTGGAAAACAATTTCTGAAAAATAATTTCCCGGAAATAATCTATGAAATATAATTTCAATAAAATAATCCCTTGAAAATAATTTCTGGGGAAAAATATCTGGAAAACAATTTCTGAAAAAATAATTTCTGGGAAATAATCTATGAAATATAATTTCAATAAAATAATCCCTTGAAAATAATTTCTGGGGAAAAATATCTGGAAAACAACTTCTGAAAAATAATTTCTGGGAAATAATCTATGAAATATAATTTCAATAAAATAATCCCTTGAAAATAATTTATGGGGAAAAATATCTGGAAAACAATTTCTGGGAAATAAATAACTTACGGGATACAATTTCCGAGAAATAATCTCCGGAAAACAATTTCTGAAATATCGTAACCTTCACTAACTTCATTTAAAGGCGAGTAACGAGTGTACACAATTTCGGCTTCCAGATCTATCTGATAGATGGTCACGTCGTTACAAAGGTCAGATTGCAGAACCTCTGTGACCTTTAACGGGTCAACGATGCAACCATATTGACCGTTGATTGTCAGGGGCTGCTGGCGCCCTATGATCCATCAGGGTTTAGGGCATGCTTTTGAAGATAAAAATAGAAATGAGATTGCAACAACAACAATATAATAATAATAATAATAATAATAATAATAATAATATATAATAATAATAATAATAATAAATAATAATAATAATATAATAATAATAATAATAATAATAATAATAATAATAATAATAATAATAATAATAATATAATAATAATAATAATAATAATAATAATAATAATAATAATAATAATAATAATAATAATAATAATAATAATAATAATAATAATATTATTATTATTATTATTATTATTATTATTATTATTATTATTATTATTATTATTATTATTATTGATGGAAGAAAATATTCATAAGTGTTAAAGACTATATTTAGGAAGAGTACACACAGAAGAACATTGCTATGCATGTATCTCACGTTGCTGGGAACTGTTGCTGGTGTTGCTACACTGGTCGACCTTGTCTTTACTACTCTGGAGGCTTTGTGTGTGTGTGTGTGTGTGTGTGTGTGTGTGTGTGTGTGTGTGTGTGTGGGTGTGTGTGTGTGTGTGTGTGTGTGTGTGTGTGTGTGTGTGTGTGTGTGTGTGTGTGTGTGTGTGTGTGGCAGGGTGGGTCCTGACGCATAGCTAGAGTGGAATGTTGTGTGTGTGTACTCACCTAATTGTACTCACCTAATTGTGGTTGCAGGGGTCGAGACTCAGCTCCTGGCCCCGCCTCTTCACTGATCGCTACTAGGTCCTCTCTCTCTCTGCTTCCTGAGCTTTGTTAATACCTCTTCTTAAAACTATGTATGGTTCCTGCCTCCACTACTTCACTTGCTAGGCTATTCCACTTCCTGACGACTCTATGACTGAAGAAATACTTCCTAACGTCCCTGTGACTCGTCTGAGTCTTCAGCTTCCAGTTGTGACCCCTTGTCCCTGTGTCCCCTCTCTGGAACATCCTAGCTCTGTCCACCTTGTCTATTCCCCGCAGTATCTTGTATGTCGTTATCATGTCTCCCCTGACCCTTCTGTCCTCCAGCGTCGTCAGTCCGATTTCCCTTAACCTTTCCTCGTACGGCATTCCCTTGAGCTCTGGGACTAGCCTTGTTGCAAACCTTTGTACTTTCTCTAACTTCTTGACGTGCTTGACCAGGTGTGGGTTCCAGACTGGTGCTGCATACTCCAGTATGGGCCTAACATACACAGTGTACAGTGTCTTGAACGATTCCTTATTAAGGTATCGGAACGCTATTCTCAGGTTTGCCAGGCGCCCGTATGCTGCAGCAGTTATTTGGTTGATGTGTGCCTCCGGTGATGTGCTCGGTGTTATGGTCACCCCAAGGTCTTTCTCCCTGAGTGAGGTCTGTAGTCTTTGTCCACCTAGCCTATACTCTGTCTGCGGTCTTCTTTGCCCTTCCCCAATCTTCATGACTTTGCATTTGGCTGGATTGAATTCGAGAAGCCAGTTACTGGACCACATGTCCAGCCTGTCCAGGTCTCTTTGCAGTCCTGCCTCATCCTCGTCCGATTTAATTCTTCTCATCAACTTCACGTCATCTGCGAACAGGGACACTTCAGAGTCTATTCCTTCCATCATGTCGTTCACATATATCAAAAATAGCACTGGTCCTAGAACTGACCCCTGTGGGACCCCGCTCGTAACAGGCGCCCACTGTGATACCTCTTCACGTACCATGACTCGTTGCTGCCTCCCTATCAGGTATTCCCTTATCCATTGCAGTGCCCTCCCTTTTACATGCGCCTGATCCTCCAGCTTCTGCACTAATCTCTTGTGGGGAACTGTGTCAAAGGCCTTCCTGCAGTCTAGGAAAACGCAATCTACCCACCCCTCTCTCTCGTGTCTTACTTCTGTTACCTTGTCATAAAACTCCAGGAGGTTTGTGATACAAGATTTGCCTTCCATGAACCCATGCTAGTTTTCATTTATAATCTTGTTCCTTTCCAGGTGTTCGACCATTCTCCTCCTGATAATCTTCTCCATGACTTTGCACACAATACATGTCAGAGACACAAGTCTGTAGTTTAGTGCCTCGTTTCTGTTTCCTTTCTTAAATATGGGGACTACATTAGCTGTCTTCCATTTCTCAGGTAGTTGCCCAGTTTCAAGGGATGTGTTGAAGATTGTGGTTAGAGGCACGCACAGCATCTCTGCTCCTTCTCTAAGGACCCATGGGGAGATGTTGTGTGTGTGTGTATGTGTGTGTGTGTGTGTGTATGTGTGTATGTGGTGGACCTGTCTTAAGGGCTCACGTAGGAAGTATATCTTCTGCCTTAGAGTTGTCAGAAATTGAAACAATCTGGAGAGTAATGATATATACATAGCTTCAAGAAGAGTTACGATAAGGCTCTTGAAGCAGGGAGAGAATGGACCTAGTAGGGACCACCGAAGAGGAGGGGCCAGAAGCTGTACGTTGACCCTTGCTCCTATATATAGGTGAGTACACATACTACATACACACAACACAAACATACTCTCTCTTTCTCTCTCTCTCTCACACACACACATATCCTGAACCATTCACATCTGCATGGTTTGGACACAGGGGTCACTGACCCCCCTGAAAACATCCTTCTAGTATCCTTCATGTATCCTTCAGTATCCTTCATGTGTCCTTCAACTATTCATGTATCCTTCAAGTATCCTTCATGTATCCTTCACGTATCCTGTGACCATTACCTCAAAGTCTTTCTCACCAGCTATAAACACAAATATACTAACAGAAAATAAACTCTCCAACAAAGGAGATATAATTTTACTAACAATATAAACGCGAACATTCTATTACTAACAAAAAAACACAGCTGCACTATTTACTAATAAAACAGCTGTGTAACATTAAATATACCAAGATATGTATATCTGTGTATATACACGTAATGTATTAAATCAGTCGAAGGGTCCGACTCACTCGGGTCAAGAGGTCACACATGAAATAAATATTTAAGGAGAAAATGACCTCAGAATAGGGTCGGACGATGACCCCTAATGCATATATTTTTATTTGTTAATTTACTGGGTTTAAACGTGTTCACCACCAAACGAGAATACTATAATACCTAAAGTAAGGATTAAAGGTAATCTCAGTGTATATACATCATACAAATTAACAGATCTATTCTTTAGAATATATACAAATATGAAAAGAATATCATTGAAAGCAAGTACTAAGGATGTCTATTCTTAAAGAAGGATAAAGGTCCTTGAAGAATTTCCATGTAGATAATTAAGTATTTACCAATTTACACTTTTCCACACACACGTTATTAGATTTCTGATGGTTAACCCGAACTATTTGTTATACTTTTAACCTAGGGTAAGATCGAGGTTGCTAGTACTGATGTTATTACTACTACTACTACTACTACTTCTACTACTACTATTACTTTGAATACCTCTACGATTGGGGCCTTATATAGCGCCAGGAGGTGAGACGTAGGTCACTTTGGGAGGTTAGGTCCCTCTACTAGTGAGAACGGCTGGATTTGAGAGGGACCTGACCTCCCAAAGTGACCTACGTCTCACCTCCTGGCGCTATATAAGGCCCCAATCGTAGAGGTATTCAAAGTAATAGTAGTAGTAGAAGTAGTAGTAGTAGTAGTAGTAATAACATCAGTACTAGCAACCTCGATCTTACCCTAGGTTAAAAGTATAACAAATAGTTTGGGTTAATCATCAGAAATCTAATAACGTGTGTGTGGAAAAGTGTAAATTGGTAAATACTTAATTATCTACATGGAAATTCTTCAAGGACCTTTATCCACACCTCTACGATTACTACCATTACAACGAATACCATTACTACAAACACTACGAATGCTGCAAATGCTACGAATAATGCAAATCCTCCAAATACTTCTACGACTGCTACTACGACTAGTCGTAATACGACTGCTGCTTCTATTGCTTCTACGATTGCTGCTACTACCACTACTGCTACTCCATAAACTCTCATCTCTCTAGTCGGAGTTCACGGCTACGAACCTCAAGCGCTACACATGCTGTCGACCCCATCAAGGATCTCACTCGTAGTCCAGAGCAAGTTCTATAACCCAGCGAGAGGCTGCAGTAAGGTTTATAGTGGGAAACCTTCTACATGCCCGGTCACCTGTGTCAGTAATCAGAAGTATGCATGTGTTATACATACAAGTACATATGGGATTATGACTCGGACACGCCAAGATGATCGCTAGGAATGATATCTAGACGTGTAGATGTCTGGAAGCAGCTGGTGATTTGAAAATGGTCTGGGACGGCCCGAAACGTCGTTCTGAGTGTCCTCTCCTATATGCGTGTTATCTATGGTCTGTTTCACCAGACATAACAACCGAGCTAGAACTTAAGAGATAATCTCGTAACGTTGAGACAAGGTCGTCCAACTAACTTACACCTCCAACAGTAGGCCCCAACCACATTTAGGTGACCAATGGTATTATTCTTTTACACCACTGTTTCTCTACTACCTATGGAATGCTCCTTACTAATGTTTCTGTATTAGACTGATAAAACCCCAGGCATAAGTGTCGTAAATAAGCAATTTCAACATTAATTTGGATATGCAGAATCAGCATTTATTAATTTTTTTTTTACGAAATTCTTGCCCCAGGTACCACACACACACACACACACACACACACACACACACACACCAAAAAACTTAACCTTGAACGGTAATAAGACAGATTGTGGTGAGGGTGGAGGTGAGAGTTGAGAGTTGAGGTATATAACGCTGGCTAGACACGACCTGGTCAATCATTGAGTCTTACAACCTCAGACATGAACACTCAGGTGAGAGCCACTCAGAGCACAAACTGATGCCACTCAGGTCACCAGCTGATACCATTTGCTATACAATACTTTAATACGATAACTGGGCGATGTTTCGATTCCTCTTAAGCCATTATCAGTACTTCAGTTAATCCCTCTGTCTCACGATTGTAATTTATATCACAAATTACATTTCCCGTATTTCCTGTAACAACTTTCTCACATTCCATTAATTTTTTTTCAATATAAAAAAAAGGTCTTGTGGTCTGTTGACGTCAATGTTTCCTCCATTGACATTTTTCTTGACACATTTCATTCTTTTTGTCACTGGATCTGCTAGTTCTTGTCTATAGTGTTTTAATCTTCAGTTCTTGTCTATAGTGTTTTAATCTTCAGTTCTTGTCTATAGTGTTTTAATCTTCAGTTCGTGTGTTAGTTCTTCCATAACAATGGTTTATGAACCTACTTTAAATTCCATCACTCAATAATCTAATTATCAAATTCTTTATTTAGGGATTTAAAGTTTTTCGAATGATCTATTTTATTTAGATTACTTATAAACTTTTGTAAAACTTTTCAAAATTTTCAATTCTGTTTTGATATTTTATCTGAACTTTGCAAATGAAAAATATAAATCTTTTACCGAAAAAAAGTCAGGACCTTTTTTGATACTAAATTCTTCACTTTTGTTTAAAACGAATTTTTTTAATATTTTTCAACATTTCTTGACCAAATATTTTTCTTGTCATACCAGAGACTAATTCTCAAATATCCATAAGAACAGAAACGTTAACGGCATAGATGAGTGTCGTAACTTCTCACATAACTAACCATTGTTCATCACTAAGATAAATGGACGCAGCAGCAGTTACATAACTAATCATTGTTCATCACTGTAAGATAAATGGACGTAGCAGCAGTTAGTAAGCAAAGTGTAACTTACAGATTGTGCTTGTGTTGTGTGTGGTGGTTATGGCCGCTGCTGACAAGCGTCCCTCCTTCTCCTATGGTCCTCCCAGGGTGAGTCTGTGATCATTTTTATTGTCTCAGCCACATTAAGTAAGTTCCAGTCTGTGACAGTAATATTTATTAATCTTGTACACCTGTTAGTATTAACTTTGAGGGATACAATCCTCTGTTTACTCGTGTTTATCTGTGTTTTTTCAAGGTATTCTCTGGGAATTGTTTCGTTTATTTGTATCTTCGAGGGACGGGTTCCTACAGTTACTTATATTGCATGTGTTTTTGTCCAGGTGTTTTCTGATGAATCTTTTGAGTCAAGTGAAGCCAAATACAACTTCAACTGGGCTGTTGACCACGACCCTTCAAGTAATGAGTTCGGTCACCAGGAGAGCCGCGACGGTGACGACACTCAGGGGTCGTACTACGTGCAGCTCCCCGATGGTCGTCTTCAGAAGGTGACTTTCCTAGTTGACGGTGACTCGGGCTACCAGGCTCAGGTGACTTACGAGGGAGAGGCTCGCTACTCTGATGAGTCTCGCTCCTTCGAGTCCCTTGAGTACGCCCCACGTAGACCCGTGTATGGTTAGACTCTGAGAGCACTACCAGTCCCTAGAGTACGTCCCGCGCAGACCCGTGTACGGCTAGACTCTTAGAACACTACCAGTCCCTAGAGTACGCCCCGCGAATGCCCGTGACCGACTAAATTCTGAGGACACTACAAGTCCCTGAAGTACGACCCACACTGACCCGTGTACAGCTAGACTGAGAACATACCAGTCCCTAGAGTACGGTGCATGCACGACCTTGTACGACTACACTCCGAGTACATAATCTACTCTCCTGCCCAACGTTTGACACACTTAAATCATTGAAATTCTTACCTCAGATGAAAATACTGACGATCATAACCAAATCGGTGGAAAATTTTTTTCCAACAACCTTAGAATTTCCAAGAAAATTTACCAATTGTAATTTATAAATTCTCAGCTTAACGTGACAAAATTCTAATATCTGTCATAATACAACAAAAATAACTACATTATTTATGTATTTATTCAATATGCCTTTTTTAATAAATCATAGATAAAACATATATTTCAGTTGTTTGATTTGGGATACAGAGGTGTTTTTCAAGGAATATTTGTATAGTAATACTAATAATAATATTAGTAATAATAATAGTAATAATAATAATTATAATAATAATAATAATAATAATAATAATAATAATAATAATAATAATAATAATAATAATGAAAGGGTTTATATTTTATTATTATTATTATTATTAGTAGTAGTAGTAGTAGTAGTAGTAGTAGTAGTAGTAATAATAGTATCAGTAGTAGTAATACAAGGGAGCGTTAAATCAGAAAGGGTGAGGCAGTGTTGACTGTCAAATAGTCCGATTTTTTCCGAGTAGCTCCAATTCTTTGGATCAAGAGCCCTGCAGCATCAAGGCACCATGGAGGCTGATAGCACAAACACAGAAAGTATGTCATATATACACCTAAGAATACATATATTTATAGACTGATAGAGTATATATACTCTCGGAGTACTAGTACTAAGAGTACTAGTGCTTAGAGTACTAGTACTAAGGCCACAGGACAGTAACGTGTTGGTCTGATCTGATCCATTGTCAAGGCACAAGTGGGCGAGGAACAGCAAGAGAAGGCCAGGAGACAGCTAGGAGCTAATATAAGTTGTGAAGGCTCGATCCTCCGTCCAGGAATCACAGCCCAGTGTCTCACCAACCAGAAAAAGAAGTGGAAATGTCCGGAATTTAAGAAAAAATATGCTTCGGAAGTGTGTGAAAAATTATTAACAAAATGTAATAGTTCCTCCTGTAATTTTATATCTTGGTTTTCTTTAGTTAGTGCTGAAGGTTAGTTGGTTCTTCGTTTTCTTTAATTAGTGCTTAAGATTAATTAATACTTGATTTTCTTAAGTTAGTGATAAAAGTTAATTGAACTTTCGTTTTCTTTAGTGCTGCAAGTTAGTAAATACTACTTGGTTTCTTTAGTGCTGAAAATTATCTGATGCTTCGTTTTCTTTAGTGTTGAAGGTTAACTGATGTCCCATTTTCTTTAGTGTTAGAGGTTGAATCTTTTCTCGTTTTCTTTAACTAGTGCTGAATATTAACTGATATCCCATTTTCTTTAGTGTCGAAGGGTGACTATTCTCGTTTTCTTTAGTGTTGATGGTAGACTATTACACAGACACACACACACACACACACACACACACACACACACACACACAGGAGCTGTGCTCGACCCCTTCAACCACAAATAGGTGAGTACAGATAATGTGAGGCCAAGCGCCCTCACTGTACCTGTAACCCATGGGCCTCACAGTAACAGTCGCCCAGGGTCCTTACAGTACCTGCAACCCAAGGGCCTCACAGTACCTGTAACCCAAGGGCCTCAAGTACCTGTAACCCAAGGGCCTCACAGTACCTGTAACCCAGGGGCCTCACAGTACTAGTCGCCCAGGGTCCTTATAGTACCTGCAACCCAGGATCCTTACAGTACCTGCAACCCAGGGTCCTCACAGTACCTGTAACCCAGGAGTCTCAAAGTACCTGAAAACAAAGGGTCTCACAGTACCTGTAACCAAAGGGTCTCACAGTACCTGTAGCTCAGGGGTCTCACAGTACCTGTAGCTCAGAGGTCTCACAGTACCTGTAACCAAAGGGTCTCACAGTACCTGTAGCTCAGGGGTCTCACAGTACCTGTAACCAAAGGGTCTCAAAGTACCTGTAACCAAAGGGTCTCACAGTACCTGTAGCTCAGGGGTCTCAAAGTACCTGTAATTAAAGGGTCTCACAGTATCTGTAGCTCAGGGGTCTCACAGTACCTGTAACTAAAGGGTCTCACAGTGCTTGTAGCTCAGGGGTCTCATAGTACCTGTAACCAAAGGGACTCACAGTACCTGTAACCAAAAGTTCTCACAGTACCTGTAACCAAAAGGTCTCACAGTACCTGTAGCTCAGGGGTCTCAAAGTACCTGTCACCAAAGGGGTCTCACAGTAACTGCAGCTCAGGGGTCTCACAGTACCTGCAACCAAAGAGTCTCACAGTACTTGTAGCCCACGGGTCTCACAGTGCCTGTAACCGAAGGGTCTCACAGTACCTATAGCCCAGGGGTCTCGCAGTACCTGTAACCAAGGGGTCTCACAGTGCCTGTAATCCAGGGGTCTCACAGTACCTGAAACCCAGGGGTCTAACAGTACTTGTAGCCCAGGGGTATCACGGTACCTGTAGCCCAGGGGTCTAACAGTACCTGTAACCCAGGGGTCTCACAGTACCTGTAACCCAGGGCTCTCAGAGTACCTGTAGCCCAATGTTCTCAGAGTACCTGTAGCCCAGGGGTCTCATAGTGCCTGTAGCCCAGTGGTCTAACAGTACCTGTAACCCTGGGGTCTCACAGTACCTGTAACCCAAGGGCCTCACAGTACCTATAGCCGAAGGTCCACACAGTACCTGTAGCCCAGGGTCCCCACAGTCCCTGTAACCCAGGGGCCTTACAGTACCTGCAGCCCAGGGGTCTTACAGTACCTGTAACCTAGTGTTCTCACATTACCTGTAACCCTGGTGCCTCACAGTACCTGTAGCCCAGGGGCCTCAGAGTACCTGTAGCTCAGGGGTCTCACAGTACCTGTAGCCCAGGGTCCTCACAGTGCCTGTAGCCCAGGGGTCTCACAGTACCTGTAACCTAGTGTTCTCACAGTACCTGTAGCTATCTTCAAGGCATCATCTCAGCAGCCATCTCAACACGCAGCTCCCCAGTCATACCTCGACGTTACATCAATGCACTCAAAGGTTTAGCAGAAGACACGACCATTAGGGTCACCACCGCTGATAAAGGAGGTGGTGTTGTTATCATGAACACTGACGATTACAGGAACAAAATGCTCAATCTACTTAATGACCCAGATACCTACAAACCTCTCACAAATAACCAAGTGGACAACCTTACTAAAACTTTTCTTCAAAGGACTCGCCGCATTCTGAGGGGCTCAGAACAAGGGAAGAAACTTCTGCACACCATGCCACAACCCCAGACCTGCCAGAATGTACGGCCTGCCAAAGACTCACAAGCCTGGTAAACCCACTGAGGCCCCTATCCTCGGGAATAGGCAGTGTCCCCACCAGCTCTCAGGAATTCTCGCCAAACACCTCTCTAAACTCTTGGGCACTATCAGTCCAGCACATCTCAAACACTAGGGTGATCTTCTCAATCGCATTCGCAATATCAACATCAGGAACAAGAAACTTTCCAGCCTTGACGTGACTTCCCTATTCACCAAAGTACCCACTACACAAGCCATCGATCTCTTGCGCAGGAAAATTGACGATTCACCTTTATCTTCCCATTCCAGCCAGCGATTTCATCGACCTTGTTGAACTATGTGTTGGCTTTACGTGTTTCTCCTTCGAAAATCACCTCTTTCAGCAGACTTTTGGACTACCCAGGGTTTCGCCACTCAGTGCAGTCCTGGCGAACTTATAATGGAACATCTAGAAGCCGAACGTTTCTCACCATTATCCTTCGTCTGTCACCTGGCTCCGTTATGTTGGGCGACATTCTCCTCATAACTCCTAAACGCTTCAACGTTCAAGCTCTCCAAGACAAGCTCAACCAGGTTGAGCCTTCAATCCAGTTCACACTTGAAGAAGAAGTCGACAACACTCTTCCCTTTCCCTTTATGTTCTGCTCTGCAAAGTGACCACGAACTTCGTTTAAAGTCTACCGAAAACCCACCAACCAAAAAGATCTTCTCCACTTCTACTCTCACCACGACACCAAAACCAAACGTGGTGTGATTATAGGCTTCTTTCCCACGTGCACTCAGAATCTGCAGCAATGAGTTCCTTGAGGAAGAATGCACTATAATTGAACAAGTATTTTTTAAACTCCACTTCCTCGTCACTTCATCAGAGACTGCAGACGGCGGGCATTAAACATCTTCAACACACCCAGAGAAGACACTGCCCAGAAGAGATACATAGTCTCCCCAACAACTCCATTGCCAAACATGTTTCCAACATCTTTGCCAAAACATCATTCCAAGTATCTACCTCCACAAAACCACGACCCTCAAGGACATCAAAATAGTGACAGGACAAGCCTCCACCTCTGCAGGGGTATAAAATAATCCCCTTTTAATGACTGCAAACAAATTTATTGTGGCGAAACATCAAGAGACCTCCAAACACGCATTTCAGAACACCAATATCAAGCAGACTGACGATACAAAGGAAAAGCCCGTGTACAACATCGCAATTCACACAACCATTAATTAACTACAGAACTCAAGACTTTAGCCACAGAAGACAACACTCAATACAGAAGAATCCTGGGAATCATCGCTTATCTCTGTAACCCAACAATTTCAACCAGAACAATGGCTTCTATAACATAGCTGAACCACTCGCCAGAAACTTCTTCATCGCTATCCCACATAAGAACATAGAACACTGCAGAAGGTCTACAACTTGTCCAATACCCCTGCCAAGCTACCCAAGACTCTATAACCCCACCCGGTAGATCAGATGCAGCATTCTCCACCTGACCTCAACATTCTGAACATGACTATAAATACTCTCGTACCTTCCAACCCCAGGTAGATCCGTGTGTGACTTGAAAAAGCCCACTGTGTGGGTGAAACGTTGTCAATAAAGGATCACATTATACTGCATTTGTGTTTATATTTCCATTGTGTCGGTATTTTATACCATTTATTTCCACCTGTAGCCCAGGGACCTCACACTACCTGTAGCCCAGGGACCTCACAGTATCTGTAGCCCAGGGGCCCACAAAATATTAATCCAGCTCTGGCCACATTGAAGGTAAATTTTCCCCTTGAACCTTCCTCTGATGCTTACTTTTATTAACACGTCCAATCTTGTCACCATAATCAAAGGCTGAAAATATTTGAAGGTTATCATTACTGTATTCTGTTAGTTTTCATTCT